TATAATACAAGATATTTCCAATTACCTACTTATTCTTCTGTTTCTTCTTATTCTAGTGCAAATGAAAAGACGTTATATTATGGTAGTAGATGGGGAGTTGTAAGACAATTAGATGCAGCATCTATGATGGAAAAGTCTATGTATTTACCAACAACTAATACTAGAGATGTACTCAGTATGGATAATATGTATAGTGCATGGAATCCTCAATTATTAATTTCTATAAAAACTCCTCAATCTGTTAATGCTGTTAATTCTTGTACTCTTACTATTCATTGGCAATTTGATGTTACATTGAGAGGTCTTAGGAAAGTACTTGTTTCTGAAGACAATTCTTTTAAACCTTATATTGGTTTTATTGGTTATGCTCGTAATAACAATGGACTTGTTGTACCTAATAATGTTCCTAATGCACAACCTCCGTACATTTTAGTTGGAGCAATTGATAACGGTTCTGCTCCATCAATTAATCCTGAAACTGTTTATGATGCTGCTAATAATGCATATTCTAATGGTGGTTTAGTATTACCAAATGATGGTTTACCAGAACATAATGTTAATCTCTAATTGATTATTGAACTTTAATTAGTTATTTGATGTTTAAACGAAGAAGAAGACAATACAATTATAATAAACGATATAAAAGATATTATAATAGTGCTGGTAGGTATGTTTCTAGACAATATGATAAACAACCCATTGATAATGAACAGCAGTTTTATCAATTTGGTGGAAGACCTTATAATCCACCAATTCCAGATGAATCTCTTCAAAATATAGTTAATAGGGAATTAGATAAACGATTGGGTGATGACGGTGGATTTTTTAAAAATATTGGTAAACAACAAAAAAGGATTGATGATGATATAAAAAATCTGTATAAGCTATTTTACGTGCTCAGCAAGATAATCTTAAAAATGTTCATCATATTGAACGTTTAGAATCTGCAATTAATAAATATAAACAAAACGCCGAACGATTTGTTACAGTTGAAGATTTAGTTCGTGAAAATAGAGAAATGATAAATAAAAACATTAATAAGATTAATGAATTAAGAATGGAATTTGGTGATTTTATTCCTCGTAATATTCGTACTCAAATAAAAGATCTTGATGAACAAAATTCTATATTGAAACGTCGTGTATCTAATATTGAAAAGAATAATGGGATATTTGTTACTCGTGCAGAGTTAAATGCTTTCAAAGATTTTTATGAACCTGTAGTTGAAAAACAAGGTTCTAGATTACAAAATATTGAAGAACGAATTGATATTTTGAAAGGATTGATTGATAAATATCCTGCTTTTGAGAATCAATTAAAAAAGTTATCTGATGATTATCAGAATATGGGTTCGGCGTTTTCTAGACAATATGATGATTTGAATTCTCGGTTTAGATATTTGAATACAATAAGTCCAGAAAATTTAAATGCTGTTAGAGCAGATTTAGAATTATATAAAGATCAACTTCAAAAAGAAATTCAATTACTTTATAGAACTAAATTAGATGTTAATGAAGCTGCCAAGTGGTTTGAACAAACGTGGTCTGATACATATAGACGAAACGATGTAAATATTTTATTAGAACAATTTGATAATTATATAAAGAAACAAGAAAGAATTATTAAAGATATTGATTCGAGACTCGTTGAACAACAACGATTTTCATTGAAACGACTTGATACAGTTACAGATAAGGTTAATTTATATACTGAACGTCTTGATAAATTAGAAAATAAATCAGAAGAATGGAAAAATGTTTTTGATGTGGTTAACAGATTACCTGAACACATGAAAATACCTTTAAATGATTTACTAAAAGATTTATTAGAAGAACAAGAACCTGCTAATTTTACTAGAAGAATGAGAATACTTGAGAGTGAAGTGAAAGCTCTTAAATCATCAATACAGAAAATTGGTGCTGGTAAAACGGAAGAACTTACTCGTGTAATAAGTTTAGTAAATAGTATACAGAATGATATGAATTCATATAAAAAGGGAGGACAAATAATAAATGCAGGAGAAGAACGTTTTTATAGTGATGATCCGGATATGAGACAGAGTAAAAAAGCTTTTGAAAATACTCGTCAGTTATTAATTTCTCAATTTAGAGATGTTAATAAGTATATAAAAAACAATGAAGTTCGTGGTACACAATATAAAGACGTGATAAGTACTGTTAATACAATTATGAACCAATTTGAAAATATTGCTCAATCCTTTAATGCTGAGTATGTTGTTCCTGTTAATGATATGCAAAATTTTCATGAAAGTATGATGTTGGTTTTGAGTGGTATTAAAGATGACAATTCGAATATTGATGAAATTCGTTATAAATTGGATGTTGCTTCTCGTGATTTTACTAAATTGCGGGCTTCTTGGAATAGTAATAGAATGGCTGGTGCTAAGATTATTGCAACTAAATTGGCTGAACGAAATGGTATAAATCTTAATGAATTTGTTGAATATGCTCAGAATTTTGTTGTACGTGGTGATACTAATTCTTATGTTTCTGAAAGTATAATACAACCAAGAAAAAGAATTACAGGAGATGGTATTTCTTCTGATTCAAATTCTGGTTTGGAAAATCGTGGTCACGGAGTGGTTACAGCGAAAGAGGTAAAACATGGATATGAATTAATGGGTAGACATGAAATCGAACCTAAATATAATGTTACTCCTGTTGCTTCTGATTATAGACAAAAAACAAATGATTTAATGCGTGCGGGATATAACGAATATGATTATGAAAAGTGGTATAAAGAAGCGAGAGCAGCAATAAATGAACGAGTGAAAAAATATTATGATAATCCTGAAAATGAGAGGGAAGTTATTGATGTTAACGGTCATATCACGGAATCTATTCCAAGAGGAGTGTATAATATGATTGAGTCAGATGAACTCGGTCGATATGAAAGGCGTGTAAATGCGTCCAAGAGGAACAATTTAATACTGAAACGTAATATGGAACGTATTAATAAACGTGCATGGGAAGACGTATTGAAGAAAGACACTTCTGCGAAATCTAAAAGAATAATAAAAGTTCCGATGGTTGCAACTAAAAAGAAGTAAATTAATTTATTCTTTCTTAATCATAAATTATGTCTGGATCATTTCCGTTTCCTCCGAGTGGTTGTTGTTCCATTGGATTGTTCATTTCTTCATCTTCATAATCTTCATCGTCATCATAATCATCAGATGAAGAGTCCATATGTCTTTCAAAATAATTATTTCTCTGCTTTTCATAAGATGACATGGTTTCTTTTTCAAAGTCCTTGAAGTCTTGTCTTGACATACCCAATGGATTTTCTGACTGGTATTCTTCTAAATCATTATTCCATTCTTCTTGGATACTCTCGTTATCTTGTTGAGACTCTTTCAGCATTTTCTTTAATTGTGGATTGTTTCTTCTTTTTTCTTTTATTTTATCGTTTAATTCTGTTAAGAAGTCTTCGTCATAACCTAGGTCTGCCATGAGTGTTGTCATTCTACTATAGAATGAAACGTGTTCTGGTGTATAATCCTCTTGCATGGTTGCATCTTCATCCTGTTCTTCTAAAGCATTATATTTCTCTTCAAGGTCTTTTTGTGGGTCATAATTAGTCTCTTGTTCTTGCATATCTTCTGATGGATTATCAGATTCTTGTGGATCTTTATAAATCTTTTTATCTAAGAAGACTGTTAAAGAGTTTCTTCTCCACCATGAGTATCCTCCATTTTCACGCATTAAATTTACAACGTTTTCGTATTCTTTCTGATTAAGCAGATGGATGCACGGTCTTGCAGTTACGATTGCTTTTGAATATTTTATATTTACCACAGTCTTCTTATTTATCGTTGAGGTAATGGCTTTAATTAAACGTACTGTGTTTTTATCATAGTTAATATCGTCTAATAAAATAAATCTATAATGCTGTTCATCATCGTATGTATCGAACAGGGAATCTCCGCGCAACATAAACGTGTTATATTTCATAAAAATTTCCTGGACAGCAAATTCTGTCTTCCCTGTCTTTGTTGGGCCGACAATAAATAAATTGCCCATACGGTATTTGTCTCCTGAGGCACATTTTATCCACTTTCTGATTGTTTTAATCTCCTCCATATCTTCTCTCCATGGAAGTAGATCCGTTTTCGTGTATTGTTCCATGTCTATTCTCCTAGCATTCTTCCTCATCCAACGAGCTTTAATGCGTCCCTCTTGTTGGATATATTTTTCTGCATTTATCTCCATTAAATTTTGTTCTAATTCTTTATAGTCTCGATATGAGTCCATATCGTTCAGGGCGTTAATCCAGGTTTGTTTTAATTCTTCCTTCTTATTTGGATCTCCCTGGTGTAGCCCTTCCCCCTTCTTAGTTATATATTTGATTATTGCGGAGATATCACCTGTTCGTGATGTATATGAATTTACTCTGGAATACCAGAAAGTCTGTCTGGTTCCATCAGAATGTGTAATTATTGGTCTGGCTTTAAAGGAACGTGGTCTTTTTAATACTATTAGCATATGTTGGTGTGGACGAGGATTAATTTCATCATGTTCTGTTGGTGATATATGTGCATATTGCACGTTACTGGTAGCTCCTGCCATCCTGTCCACAACTTCCTTGAATTGAATATTGTTCTTTATTTCATCACCCCATAGTGTACGGTATAGGTATCTGGAGGTGAAATGTAGTGGTTTATTAGACTTTAATGATTCGTTGAGGTGTATAAAATCTAATTTGGTAGGCTCGGATGAGAATTGGTTTGTTGACATTGAATGTTTGAAAGAAAAAAATCGGTTCTATTTATATTAAGTGATGAGGTTTTTGCTGGCGTGGAAATGCGTTGGAAATTACGTCATTGAGTAGAACTGATATATTTAAACTCTGAATTTTATAACTTTGGTATCGACTTAATAATGACATCGTTTACAGGTACACGGGATGACATTCATTACACAGTTCTCAATAAGGATCTTGCTGAAGTTTACATGGAAACTCAGCGTGAGCCAGATGTAAATACCTTTGTTAAAAAATTGTTTCATACTATGAAGGAGCCTTCATTTTTAGATTGGAGGTTAAACGTATCTGGCAAAGTAAATGACGATGCTGAACGAGCTTCCATTATAAGGTCTAAATTAGAAAGTATTCTTAGAAGTGAGCGTTTGTCGCAATACTTGGATGAAAACGGCATTAGTTTGAATTCGTATAATGCGTGGGTTAAGCGTAAGTACGGAAAGACTGTTAAGAAAGATATGAAAATGTGCGATTTACCAGAATGGATTCGTCGATATTCTAAGAAGATTGAAGATTTTGGTGATGATGAAAAAGAGCGTGATGCTCTACTCGGTGATGTTAAAAAGATTGACGAGGAAAAGAAACCCAGGAAACCAGAAACTGATAATTAATTGATTTAATTAGTTATTTATTTTTTTGTTTTGTTTACGTTTATATGTATTGTTAATTAAAATATTTTATGAATATTTCATCTAGATTTATTAAATGGACGATTCATTTGTTGAATGTACTTCTGTTTTACCTAGTAATGATTACAAATTGTATCCCTTCACTCGTCATGTATTCTTGAGTGGGGGATTAGCCGTTGGCAAGACTACTATTCTTAATTATATTCGGAGTGTTTGTTTTAATGTAGATGATATTTTCTTTGTTCAGGAATATATTGATTATGATGTTGAAGGTGAAAAGCGTTTAGAGAGTTTACATAATGGTTTAATAAAAAATTATCAATTTCAAAAGTATGTATTACAATGTTATAAAAAACAGTTCAAGCGAAATGAATTTAAAAATGCAAGAGTTGTTATATGGGAAAGACATTTGGGTGAAGCTTTGAGTATATTCTGTGAAAACGATGATTCACTCACTGATGAAGAACGTAAAGACATTAAAAATGAAATAGATTATTTATGTGAAATATATGATATACCTGGTTTAAATAATATTAATGTTAAATTTGTTAGAATTGATACAACTTCAATCGAAATTGAACGGATAATACAAATGTTGTTAAATGGTGTTATTTATCCAATGTTAATGAAAAATTATAGACATGATTTGTTTGTTTTATTGTATTGTGGAGATTTAAAAGAACAATTTCGCAGAGTACAGAAGAGAGGAAGAAATATAGAATTAAGTTTATATAAGAAAGATGATGATTTATTTAAAATTAATGATACGTATTTTAAGTTTTATTTGAAACATGATAAAATAATTAATTGATTAACTTATTATTTCATTTATTTGAATTACTATGAGTGATACAACTGAAGGTACTTCTATGAATTCTTTATTAAAACAGCCGAAGATACTAAACAGAATATGTTATTCGATTGCTGCCTCTATTGTCTTATTAATACTAATGATTTTAATTATTGTTAGTCAGTTGATTATTAAATTCTTAACATAAATGATTAAAAAATAATTAATTATTCTTTTGTGGCTTGGTTTGTGTATTATGTTTAGATGAGCATTTTTTCATTACTTCTAAAACTTTTCTATGAGTAGATAAGAAGTTTAATGCAGTTAATGCTATATCTTCTACTTTATACGCTTCCTTTTCTAATAGTCTTAAGTATTTATCGTCACCCAATGTTGCTATTTGCTCCTTTTTATACAGTTCTGTTAAATCTTCACATAATTCTTGAATGCCGTCAAGGTCTATAAAGTAGCTGGCCAAGTACTTACTTTTATGTCTTCTAATTGGATTGCGTCGATTCTATCTTCTACTGTGATACTCATTTTGTAGTTCGAGTTTGGATGTTGTGTTTATATTTGTTTGATTACGTGTATTAACGTTGTTAGACAGACATTTTAAGAGGTGTATAGTAATTATTTATTTTATATTATTTATTAAAATTTGTTATTTTGTTTTTGAAGAGGGATGTTGACAGACATTTTTTTATTCTAAACAGACACTTTTATTACTTTTATTGACTTTTGGATAGGACATAATTATGTGTTGTTTATTTGTTGCCAACTAAGCATCTTAATTTAAAACATAGGAACTTGATAATTTTCATCAATGAGTAAATCAATCTGCTTGGATCATATTAAAACTCTCATTATTGAATTGGCTGTTGAAGTTAATGAACGACTAAAAACGAATCTTACCGCCGATGGACGAAGTATTGTTTATGCTATTTCTTTTTGGGTGCATCAGTTAATATTTGTTAAAGAATATGAATTTGATTCTTGTCTAGATGAATATCTTCGTTATCTTCTCAACGACATTAAAAATTTCATCGTTGATTATGGTAAACTTGAACGCATTGTAGGTGAACTTGCGTTCTTCTACCATGATCTTGGAAATTTCTGCGATGATTCTAATTAATTCTTTCTTTGTTATTTTTAATGTTATTTGGTTTTGTTGATATTTATTTAAATCATAATTTATTGTTTTTATTATATTTACTCTTGTTTTATTATTACTTTTTTGTCATCATTCGATATAAACTTCATTTTATTCCTCATTGCTCTTGCAATACTTCACCTTTCTCTCGTTCTTTATTCGTTTTTCATATGTTTCTCTGCTTCTTTTTGTTTCTATGTTACATTTTCTTCTTATTTCTGCACCTTTCTTTCACCCTAATTCCTCACCATTTGAAATTTTTGAACGTTAATTTCAACCCTGCCACATATACATTATTATATAAACTAGGGTCAGCGATCTAATAATTCAGTTGCGCTGACTTTTGTGTTATACACCACTACAATATTTTATTAGACGTTTTGTGTTATTCTTTTTTGTTATTTATTATTTTAACTTCATATTTACTATTCAGTGTTTCTTTATTTTTCCCATAATTTTATGTTATTCATCCCAATATAGTCATTGAGTGAGTCAATTTTATTCCTATTCTGACTTTTTGAGGTCCAAAATATATATATATATTATATATGACTATATATTTTTATTATATTTTATTATATATTTTACTATTATTTACTATAATTTTGGTCAGTTTAGTCAGCTGACTTTTCTATTTGAGATTTTTAGATTTTCATCTGACTTTTTTAAGATTTTATTGTTATTCAACCCATAATTTTTTGAGTTTTATCCACGTATTGATTACGTCATTTGAGTTTTATTTAACCTCATTGATGTGTTACCACGTCATTATTTCTATTTTTACAAACTTCATCTGATGTGTTACCACGTCATCACACTCC